ATCGACCCGCGCACAAAGATAACTCACAATTTGTGGCCGTGCTGCGTGCACGCGGCTGCCTCATGCCATCTTGCAACTCGCAACGCGAACCACGAAATTTATGATGTTTCCGCTTGCGCGGAAAAGGGAACAAGGACCAAGCGCAGCGCGAATTTATGTGAAAATTATTAGTGTAAACATTTTGTATTTAATTAATATGAAGCTGCAGCGGTAGAGGCAGCGCCAGTCGACGTCGTTAACTGGGCAGCGTTGACAACGCCGCGCACATGCAACGCCATTTTCGCGATACTCAAATTTTTGTTATATATATTCTATATAGTTTACTTGAACTTTTCGCTTGGCCTCGGTGTAATGCGATAATAATGATGTATGTTAATTACGGCCAGAAGAGACTGAAAAGCTGTGCACTGCAATTACAAATATGAATGAAATTCGCTACAAATTGCAGCTGATTTTGTGTAATGGATCATCTTATGAATGATAAAACAAAGGCTTATCGATTACCAACGGTAAATATGTAAAAATGTATGACAGAGCTAAAGTAAATACAATACAATATTTAAACAAATATAGATTTTTTATTTCATCACACTCACTAAACCTCTCACTCATTACTCATCTCACTCACTACCCATATCACACACTACTCATTTCACTCACTATTCATTTCACTCAGTACTCATTTCACTACCCATCTTATTAAATACCTACTCACTACACATCCCACTCACTACACATCCCACTCACTACTCATCCCACTCACTACTCATTTAATTCATTACCCCTCTGACTCATTTCCCCACCCACTCACTAGCCCTCCCACTCACTTCTCCTCCCTCTCACTACCCCTCCCACTCACTTCCCCTACCATTCACTACTCATTTAACTCACTACCCTACTAAAGCTACATCGTGATAAAATATTTTGTATATATGTATATGCTTATAGATATATACCTTTTATTTATTATAGAAAATGTTACATTCTATCCTTTTGAGAATTCCCATGGTATGCCTGCTCCATCCATTGCATCGAGCAAACGGCGTTCCAAATATATATATCTATTCATAAAACTTCCACAAAAAATACTTCAAATTTTAAAATTACAAAAGAAGAAATCCACTCGAGCAAAAAAGCATTAACAGGTAAATATTGTCTTAATGGGGCGACCATTTGTGCTAAGCACCCTGCTAGCACCTGTCCGCCGTTTGCATTGACAATGGCCTGTGTATTTTTTTTCGGTATTTATGTGTGGACCATAAATTGTCTGGCCAAAATTCTAGACATCATAATACAAAGTGTAATAAATATGCGAACAGGCGACTGCAAACATAAGACAATGAAAGCAGTGGAAGAACAAAACAGCAAGTAAATAGAAATCAAAGCATCCGCAGAAAAAAAAGAAATGGAATATTCAGAATGTTGTTGCTGTTGTTGTTTTCCTATATTTTGAAAGCGTCGAAAGAAACTGTAGCATAAGCAGCAGCAAATGCGAAGTAATGAGCATAAAAATTATGGAGACAGATCGTGAGAGAGAGAGAGGTAGAATATATAGGAGGGAGTTTGCTAGGTGCCAGGGTGACCGTAAATCTTTTTTGTGGTGCTTTCAAGGTGAAATAACAATTTAAGTTTACGAGTATTGCTCGAAAGCAACAATACCAACAACAACAACAACAACAACAACAAAAGCAAAAACAAAACCAAAAACAAACAATGCCAACAAAAGCAAGGTAAGTAAAAGCAGCGAAAGAAGAATATTTTGGGCCTTGGGGCACGCACTCACACACACACACACGCAGACATGCATAACAAACAAAAATCTATGATATATGACAGAGCTGCGCATCAGTCGCCACGACAACTCTTAATGTGTGCGTGTGTGTGTTTGGGTGCGCCTGCTCTGTGCCATTGCCTTTACTTATTGTTGTTGTTTGTTTTATTATTCCTGGATAAATTCAGACAGTCGCACACAGGTAAGTGAGGGCGCTTCATATATCATGCTTTAATAATCTGCCGAGTGTTCCAGGGAAATCTCTTAAGTTCCCTCACAGCCCAAACGTCAATGTCCTTCAGCGCAACGCGGCTTACATTTGCCGCCTGCTGGGCTCGTATTTATTTATTTATTTTATTCTTATTCTTCTTATGCTGCCTTTCTTTCTTTTCTTTTTTTAACTTGTAAAAACAAGAGTTCAATGCGAATGCAAACGTGAATAATTCAATTGAAAACGATAAAAAACAAATTATTATACAAAATATAAAAGAGAATTAAATAAAAATACATCAAATGTTTCGCATTAAACATTAAACATATGCTATTCCTTGAGGTTTCTCACATTTTTTTTTTCTAGAGAAACAGGCATTGAAGTTGATATTCCGTAAAGTGAAAATCTTAAACTGAGAAATCTTTTAATTGTTTTTTGATTTCGTTGGAAGGAAGTATTTGTGCAAATGTGGTAATGCATAAATACTTATTTATTTAATACATACATATTTAATGCATCGTCAATCAGTGTATATATATTATTTTTATAAATATTTTGTTACTATACTTTAACCAAAATAAAACAAAAAACAGTTAACTAAAATAGATAATTATATTAATAATACATTACATTGAGATTATGATTATAACATGGGTGCATGCATTTGCTAAAGCACAAGTCTCTTGTATTTGAAATACCCATTTTACAAAGGTTAGGGTGAGGGGGTAGATATAGGGGTGGCGGATAAATGTTAACAAAAATCGAAATTGTATAAAAAGCATCTTAATATATATTCTAGCTTAATATATATTCTAGCTCTAAAGATGTAGGAGACATAATTTTTTAACAGATTTTCGATAAGCTTTTTTATCGATAAAAAAATAACGCGATGCGTTATCGATTTTTGGACATGATATGCGCGCTATAAATACGGACATTTAAAAAGAAATTTGAAGTCTCTAGCTCTTATATCTCTGAGATCGACGCGTTCATACATACGGACGGACAGACAGACGGATAGTGCCAAATCGACTCAGTTCGTCGCCCTGATCAAGAATTTATGTACTTTGTGGGGTCTGCCACGCCTCCTTCTGCCTGTTACATACTTTTAACAAAGCCATTATACCCTGATTTCCCCATTTTCAAAAAGAAAAGAAAAACAAACCAATAAAGATTCCGCTTTCTGGAATATCTCTCTAGGCACTCTGCATATTTTCAACGTGATTACAGCCGCAATTATTTCGACATTTTGTGCGCATTTTCACATTTCAAATTTCATAATTTGGCCATTGCTGCTGACACTGCTAATGAGCATCGAATTTATTCACGAAACTCAAGAGGATTTTTCGCTAGATTTCAGCCGTGTTGCAACTTGATGGATAATTGACGGCCGCTCCCCACTTAATAGTCAAATAACAGAGTTGCGAGCGGCGAGCATCCCCTCCATTTGGCCCGATTCACTTCTGGCAGAGTTGCCAGCTGTTCATTTAGTTTTTGTTACAGTTTTGGGTGCAAATCACAATTCGATTGTCTCTACGTGTCAGTCACAGGCTATGGACAGGCTCTGCATTTAGGCGGCGTTTTCCCTTGGAATTATACAATCATTTCTGATCTCGTTGGCCTGCCCTCCCCCAAGGCCCACCTTTGCCTTTCTATGACGCCAAACAAAGCAGTTAATGGGGCAACAAGGTGGCTCTGGCATGTTGATTATCTCAGGGCTTGTATCACTTAGCCCAGCTGCTGCTGCTCCTGCTCCTCCGGTCCAGCAGTTTAATTAGCGTTTGCTGCCACTCAGCCAAGTGGACAAATTTGCTCGCTGACCAGCATTGACCATTTAGCCGATAAATGTAACCAAGGCCCCGCTGCCTCTAAAACTGCTCTTCTTCTGCATCAGTTCGTCCTCGTATTGATTGGCTTCCAGGTGTGCATGCGTGTGGGCGTCTGTGTGTGTGTGCCAACCGTGCCGTGCGAGGTATTTGTGATTAGGATTTGGCTAGCGTTTGTCCAGCCATTGACAGCCATCTAAATTGCCTGCCCAACTAAAGCCTAAAGCCTTTTGTCGGCCCCAAAAGTGCTAAGCATTGCCTCAATTTTGATACTCTGACAAAGGTTAGAAATGTTCAAATGATACTATATTAAAATTAAATATAAATGAATCTCCTTAAATGACTGCTCTAAGACATAATGGAGAATATAGCTATATTAATCAATAGATTTTAGCCATAGCAGCCATTTAGCAGTACTCATGCTCTTAGCAGGCCTTTTTATGCTGTTAATGGATTTTGCTTCATTTTGACTTTGCATTTGCATCTAAGATAATTGCTAAAGCTTCAACATTTACTTTTAATAAAGCTTAGCCGGCTCAAAAAAAATAAATAAAATTAAGTATATTCAAAAAAAAAAAATATTTTTTATTATTTACATTTTTGCAGCTATTATATATTATTTATAAATATTATTTATTTACATATTAAATAAATTTTTTCTCTATCATCTTTCATTACTTTCAAAGAGTATTTCATATTCTCATATTCTCTCTCCTCTCACATATTTTGATGCCTTATTTTTACACAATCAACTAAAAACCTTTCAAAGCCTAGTCCAATGCCGAGACCACCTGTTAAATTGGGTAAATTGCTTGCCGGCACCGCAAAAAGTTCCACACCCACATACATGCACACACACACACACACACACAAAAGCAGGCTACAAAGCTTAAAATTCTACAACTGTGTCTGTTGCCCAAAATAAGCAAAAACAAAACAAGCCTTTTACCATAAAAAGGCTACTAAAAAATAAGTCATAAAAAGAAGTAAACAAGCACCTAAAAGCTTTTCAAAAGCTCACTCTCTGCCGCTCTCTCGCTCAGCTGCTGAATGTGTATCGCAAGCTCTGTGAAGCTTTATTGACGCTCTTAAGTTCGCCGCGCGCTCTTTAACGAAAGCTGCACCCAAAAGCTCTCACAGGGATGCTGTAACATGGCAAAGAGTCAGCCGAACACTCGTCGCACAGGTCGCATCCTTCGCTCGCATCTCGTGACAGCAGACTCGTTCGCATTGCCTTTCGGATCTCATGTGGACATTGCGAACGCCTGGCATTGTGCTAGGTTCTGGTCCGCTGTTGGCGCTGATGCTCGGGCTAAGGTGAACGCTATTTCAGTCAAGCTCCAGCATCCGTACTAACCGGGAGCAGCCTTTCGCACGCGTTCCCGTTATATCAAGCGCGCGCACACACACAGAGCGCGTCCCGTTCGGCCAGTAATTTTCTGTCTACGTATCGCCGTGTAAATCCCTCCGTGTCTGTCTATCTGTGTGTCTGTGTATGTGTGTGACAGTGCGTGCGTGCGTGCGTTTGAGACGTTCCGCGGCGCGACGCGTATGTGTGCATTGGTGTGTGTAAATTTTTGGGCAAAGCCAAAGGAAACAGAAACAGTGGCCCCCAAGTGACAGGTGGAGCTAACGCGAACCGGTTCAAGCACAGCTCAAAGTCGCCGTTTTGCTAACCTTTACACTTGGCAGCATTTCATAACGCGATTCAACCAAACCCAAAGTGAACTACTTCAAACAGCATAGCGCCACTGGCAGAACTTTGCTAGCCACTCGTAGCTAGTTTGAACCGTGTTTTCCAAAATGTAAGCTGAAAACTAAATTGTTGAGGGCATCAAAATTGTTTTTCATTTGAATAGAAGTTTGGGTAGAAATCCACCTAATAGAGTTCAAATATCAAATCGAACAATCAGATTTAGTACAGAGGAAAATCTAAGCTATTAAAAGAAAATTCCGAGACCAAAAATTTGTAAAAGAACAAATTCCAAGCAATTTGTAAGCATTAAGATTTTGCAAAATTTTGCAACTACAAACATATAAGTCCTTGCCAATTGTCAGCCACAATTCCTACATCAATAAATTGATTAAAAATCATATTGTATGGGCTGTGAAAGTTCTATTACCGTTGGCCTACTGCAAACAAAATCGAAGGCAAACTGAACAAAAATCCAAAACAAACTTTAGCTAGACTAATAAATCATTCGGGCCAACTTGCAGGCAGGCAAGCAACCATTGTGAGCTGAAAACGGCAAAACAGTGCTTAAAGAGTTTTTGGCATAGTTTTACCCTGTTCGATAGCAACTGGTCGTATGAGCAATGTTTTACAAATTGTACAGCTCTGTTACAGTTGGGAAGAAATAATAAATAGTTTTTCCCTTTTTTTTTTTTTTTTTTGCATATATTTATGTTTATTTATTGGTGGAGAGAATTGCAAACTATTGGCTATGTTTAACTATAATATTTGCGAAAAATTGGGAATCCAATGAAAAATATATTTTTACATTCATTTTATTTTTTTTTTTTATTTTTAATACTTTTCTGTAAAGAAACTTTTAAGAAATAAAATCAAAAGTTCTTTTATTGCAATATATATATATATATATAAATTCATAGTTTTTATAATGAATGCCTGTAGAGTCAGCTGAAGAGAAATGTAAAAATCAGAGTTTATGCAATTTTATGGTCAAAGCTGAGTGTTAAAGTTGTGCAAGTTATATTTGTGTGTGATTGAGTGTATATATACATATGAGTATACATGTACAGATATTCAACAAAAATATATATGTTGCATCATTTACTTTATTTCTTTGTATAATAAATGTTGCAGAAAATTTATTGACTACTATTTTTTCCTAACTCATTTCTGTTTGCGTCATTTAGCCTTTTATTTAAAATGTCACATTTTTGCTGAATTCTCATACAAATTTGTTTATTCACATGTTTTTGCTGAAGAAAATAAATATGACAATTTCTGCTAGAAAAGTTAAATTTGGCAAAGTGATGAAAATGTTCAATGCAAGCCATTGAAATATAATATTATTTTATATAAATATACAAAACTTCTTTTTAAATTATAAGAGAAAAATAAATAATCTTTCTAAATTATAAGCTTAGCCAAACGTTGAGTGCAATAAGTATATGTACATTCACATTTCAGATTATAACTTGTTACCAACCAAACAATTTAAGCCAAGTTTATGTATAGCTCTACAACTACTAAGCAAGAATTATCTTACAGCACTGCAATATTAACTATAAAATCATTATTAAAAAAAAGAAAGGTATATCTTGTGAAATTATATATCAAGCTGTTATAAAGATTACATCTATTGCCCTCTTAGGCACATTTTCTATTGATTCTATTCGAAAAGTCGATAAATTCAATTTTTAATGCCTTTGGGCAACAACAATGGGAAATCATAAATTTAAGTACATTGTCTAAGAAACCTTTGCTTATATTCAGTTTGATAGGCGTTCGCATAAGGGGAATTTTATGTATTCGCCTTTCTCTTGGCCATTAGCTCAAATGTCGCCAGATTTTCATGTATAAATCAAATTGTGGGTCTATTTCAGTGTGTGCGTGCCGCTTTCTAATCGCCGCACATTTGCCAAAGAGATCTGAAAAGTGATGTACATAAAGAAGAGTATCCAATGCAATAAAAAAGTTAAATCAGTCTGATTGACAGTCTGTCCGGATGACCGACCTGACTCACTTACAGGCAGACTGACGGACTGACTGACTAACTGAATGGCACCTCTTCAATGGCTCCGACTAGCACTTGGCCATTGTTTAGCTGGGAAATTTTGCGCTCATCAACTTAAATTGTGAAAATTAATCAAGTTGAAAAGGTTGGACACGGCTAGGGGTCATTTTTTTTTTCTTATGTTTTCCGTTTTCCGTTTTCAGTTTTCTTCACTTTTGGCACAGTTTGAGGCCAAGAATATATGAATGGCTTTTGCTTTGTTTTCTTTGGTCGTTGAGGTCGAGCAGTCAACATGCAAGTGAAGGGCACCTTTTTTTCTCCAGCCTCGGCAAAAGGGAAACCTTTTGCTTTGCATTCAAGCGGAAATTAAAGCGATATGTAAGAGAGAGGCCCAGAGAAATTCGATGGGCGTTGAGGGCGAGTGCGATGAACTCAATTGAAAATGTATCCCTAGGCCTGAGATTAACAAGAAAAAAAAAAAAAAAAAAAAAAAAAAAGCAAAGAAAAGGACAACATTGAACACGTGCGATGCGTGGTATACTTTAAGCTATTTTTAAAGCATTTGCTTAGGTTTTTTTTCTCATTTTTTTCTGCTTCTACTTATTTTCCCTATTTAAATATTCGTCCATTTTTTTGCCCTGTGCACAGCTCAACAGCTGAGCGACAATTCTTGGTAGATGCCTAAAAATGAAAGAAAATACCCTTTTTAATTAATGCTCTGCTCTTGTGCGCTTGCCAACCGTCAAACACCTCATTAAAATGCGATGAAAGGTGTATGTGTGTGTGCGTGGGTGCGTGGGTGTATTTAAATGAAAATATAAAACGAGTTTATGATGGCTCACGGTTTATTTGGCGAACATCTCTCGACAGGTTTCTAATTAATTTAATTACCATGCTCCTTGGGACCTCAGCTAATAAAATATGTCCGAGTAAAACTAATTAGTCAGCTCATAAAAGCCAACTTGAGTAGCCAGCAGCTACTTTTGGCTTAAGCTGCTGCAAATTTATATAATGAAGTTGCGTTGAACGAAATAAATAAATTCCTATTAATAAAAGTCAATTTCAATAAGTTCGGCGAAACAAAGAATTCATGAGCTCTCAATTGAAAGAGAAATTCGATTGCTGCTCAGATTCAATTGAAAATCTGTGAAATGCTGTGAAAATGAAAAAGCTGTTAGAGGAAATTAATTGATTAATACTAGCTCAAAATATTGTGGGCGTCTAATTGGATTAGTTCAGAGAAATAAATAAGCTTTCAATGAATGAAACTCGACATTGATTTGGCTGCTTTTGATATTTTCAATATGGCAAAATGGAAATGATATAATATATTTATATTTGTGAAAGGTCGATAACATTTTATTGATGTTGCTGTTGCATTATTTTATTAATAAAAATTATATATATATATATTTCTATAAGCTATGCATAAATTATAATGGTTGGCCTCAAATTGAAACTTCACATATTAATATCTGTTAATTATTTTAATTTAATGAGCTTAAATTTGAAATGCTGAATTAAATTATGATTGTTTTTGGTCGAGCAAAATATGTTATGTGTACTAGGCTAATAGATATAATAGATATAGTAGGCCATTATGTATAAAAGTGGACTATTGACTATATTATTATCTGTAAAGGACAGCAGCAGAGTCGTGTATATAATAAAAATAAAATTAAAATAAAGCTATTCGTAAAGAATATAAATCTATATTAAAACTTTGTGAAAACCTCGGCTAGAGCATAATAAATATATATTTTTGAACATATTAAATATATTGTCAACCATATCCTTAGAAATGCTATTGTTGGCCTGTACATACATACATGTATATTATATAGTCAATGGCAAAAGTATTTGGACAAACATATATATATATATTTTTTTTTTTTTTTTTTTTTTTATATATATATATATATGTATAACTAATTGAAAATTTAAATAGCATCATTTTATGTCGTTATCTATTTATAAACAATAGAGAATTAATAGATTGAAAGCTTGTTTTTGTTGCGGGCTTATTATTCCATTGTTTTCCCGTATATTTTGCATAGGCTCAGTAAATTTAGATTTTTGAAAATTTAATTTTTGAATTATTTGTTTATTTTTTTTATTTATTTTTTTTTATGAATAATAATTTTTTAATTTAATTTCAGAGATTTACGGAAGTGTTTATTTTGTGTATGCATTTTGACAAAATATGTTATAAATTAGCAAAAATGAAAAAACTAAAAAAAAAAAAATATATATATATATATATCTATATATATGCAAGAAGTCCATCAATTAATTGGTTTTTTAAAAGTATTTGGGATCGATAAAAATAATAGTAGTATGCAATATATCTGATTATTTTCCAAGCACTTTTTCCGCATGCTTTGCTATGATTTATGAGCAAGACTACAATTTGTTGCGATACAAAAATCATTGAGAGTTTTCTCTAATTTGTTATCAAAATAAATTGAATGCAATGCAAATTTATTGCAATTTTATATGATACGCTTAAGCCAATAAGTTTATGGCATCGGCTTTATAGTACATGTTTATCATTTCACTCTGGCTATAATTCATTTAACATTTGAGTGCAAGTAAACATAATAATTTAAGCTAACGTCAACAATAAACCATTAAGCGACCAGGCAAAATAAAAAAAATAAAAAAAAAGTGAAAAACATGGCTGACAGAGAAAAAACCATCAAAAGTAAATGAAGCATAAATGCCAGAAACATACAGAAAGCGGAATGAGAATGGGGGAATGGAGATGCCAAGAGCGGAATCGTGTGAAAGAAAAGTGATTTAAATTTTCTTTTCTAGCGGCGTGTGGAAATTGATGGAAATTGTTGGGGGCTAGGCTGTATTGGCGGCCATGCGGATGCCTTGCGTCCAAATAGCTTTTGAGGGAATTAGAAGCACTCTGCGGCAAAAATAACCGGAAGGAATTATTATAAACCTCAGATGCGTGGAGGAAATTAAATATTTTATAGTCTGCGGCAGCGAAGCAAGCATAATATAAGAAATTATTATTATATTTCTGAGTTTCGACACGCGAGACGCTGCCTAAATGACTACAAGAATAAAAAAAGAAAAAGAGAAACAAAATTGAAGTTGAGAAAACGAATTTTATTTAAGCTTGTAAATGCGTGCGTGTGCGTGTGAGTGTGTGTCTGTATGTGTGTTAATACCGCGGTGTTGCATTTTGGGGGTATTATGTACACACGCCTTAGCAAAAGGCACAAAAAGGCCACGTTAAGAGGATCTGGAAGTTGGCTTGGGGTAAAAAGAAAAAAGCAAAAAAAAAGAAGTCAAATTATCTTTTTAAAAAACATTTACACCCAGCAAAAGAGGAAAATTAAGTGTGTGCGCAACGAACAAAAAAAAAAAAAAAAAAAAAAAATGCGACGAATTAAATTACAAAGACCAGGAATAAAAAAATTATGGAAACAGTTACAGGAAATGGAATTGCTTTAAGCCCATTTCCATTTCCCAAAGAGCCGTCTTAGCGGTTTCTGATTATAGCCACAGTATCGCAGTCGAGAGATTGGCAAAAGCTGCAAATGAATAAAATATAAAATGCAACGATTGTCGACAGCGAAATGCGATGCGCAACAGCGTTATGTTCAGAGTCTGGCTTCAGAAATTGTTTAAGTGCAGGGCAATTCGAAAAGTTGGTTAAACTTTTATATGCAATCAGAAACATTTTTCAGTCTGAACGAATTTTGTTGTGTGTGTTAACATATCGTTAACATTTATGTTAAGACGGTTAATAGTATATTAAGAAACAAGCTTACAAGAATTTCGGTCCCAGAAGCAAAAAATGAAATCATTTATTGACTTACCTTTTTATTATTATTATTATTATTATTATTATTATTATTATTTTTTTTTTTTAATTTTTAAGATCGATGCAGAGCTCTAAATAGTTGCTATATTTAAGCAATTCATTCTTGAGATATTCTAGTTTATATTCTTAGGGAAAATTATGAATCAAACTCTTGAAAAATATGATTCAACTTTTATAGAGTTGATTTTATTTTATCATATTTTATACATTACCCACTATTGACAATCTAACTAATAAAAACTCTCTGCTCTTTTCTGCCATTTATTTCAAACACGCACACACATACACAACCACTCGCACTCATCCACATAACAGCACACACACACAAACAGTAACGGCAGCAAGCGGAAATCAACGAAATTGTCGTCACTCCAATCAAGTGGAAATTTGATTAAAGAAGAGAAAAGAAAAAACAAAATTTAATAAATTTCAAAACTCAATAGCCGAATACCCAAAAATAAAAAAAAATAAAATTGAAAAGAAAAGTGCGAGTGTATCAAAAAGGTAACAGCAAAGGAAATCAACACGCACGCACATGAGCGCATTTGTAGTTGTGCAAGAATAAAAAAAGAAAGAAAAGAAACAGCAGCAAACGCAACAAACATTAAAAAGCAACGAAGCGTAAAGCTCACTAAAGAAAAGAAAAAAGTTTGCACCAAAGAGGTTGACAAAAAAGTGAAAAAAAGAAGTAGAAGAATGAAATAAAGACAGCAACAATAAAATTTATAAAAAGAGTATCCAAGTGAACGAGTTTAAAAAAAAAAAAAAAAAAAAAAAAAAAAGAAACCGTAAACCCCAACAAAATGTAAAGAAAAACTAGGTAACAAAAATTAAAAGGCACGAATATTATTTAGTAGAACATAATCTGGGGCAGGAGTTGCTCAAGGCTTAGGACAACTAACGACGCTGCACAGCTGACGACGATTGCCTTGCGGCAAGGACATTACACACACATTTCTTTCTCTTCATTTTTTTCATAAAGAGTGAGTGTGCGTGTGTGTGTGTGTGTGTGTGGCCTGCATTGAGCAAAGCACGAAATTAAGTGCAGATTATCAGCAGATTATATTTTAATAGCATTTCAAGCTGTTGCCTTTCACGACAAGCCCAAAGGACGACGACGACAACAACAGCGAAAAGGACACAGACAACACCAACAACAACAACAACAACAACAACAACAAAAAGCAAATACACGTGCTAGTTGTGCCCAGCTATATCTCCCTCTGTCCGTCTCTCAATGTGTGCGAGTGTGTTGGTGTACAAGTGCGGCTTATTACACGATGTCTTGTGCAAGTATCTTTTGTGTAGCTGCCCCAACTAAAGCAAACATAAGCCCGCTGGAAATTGAAATCAAGTAACAAGCGCCATTTTTATTGCTCAGTGTTTCGAGTGTCCTTTGCCAAGTGTCGCGTGTGTCCACGAGCAGAAAGCAAATAATAAGAAAACCAAAGAAACGTGAAAGATTTAATTAAAACATTAAGCATACGCCCGGTGTCAGTCGAGACAAACGCAGCGCAAGCAGCAACAGGTGAGTGAACAAGCTTTATATGTGTGTATGTATGTGTGGTTGAAATGAAATGCCTGACGTTCACTGTGGGAAATTAAAGGTGTTCTATAGGAAATAATGTGTATATAATATAGACAAATATAAATTAATACTATAGAAAGAAAGATAAACAATTAAATAATTATGGGAAACTTTTTGTTAAAACTATGATTTTGAAATAATTTAGCCCAGATTTAATTTAGGCATAATTAATATATTTATATGAAAGCAATTTAAAAAAAATAGGTTTCTAGGTATCTTTAGTGAATGCTTTTGTCTGTTTCTGGTGTCTTCTCTTAATCATTTATACGACAGATGGAAACATTATAATTATTATCTTTGTATATTCTGTATTTATGCGTGAGCATTACAAGAATAAGTCTTGACTTTATCTCACTATGAAAGGTCAATAGAACTATACATCGAATTCATCACCTCTTTCACTAACCCCTAAAAGTCTTCAAAGAAATCTCTACTTCTAAAGTCTTCTATCAACATCTAAGTAATTCGTTAAATTAAAACATTTTGTCGTAAAACAAATTATTTTTACCATATAGAGTTACGTTATAGGAAAGTATACTCTTCAAATTCTTCAGCAGTCATGTTGCATTATGATTTAAATCAAATATCTTTCAAATTGAATAAAAAAAAAAAAAATTTTTTTTGTATATCAAAAACTCGTCTCACTTATCAAACAAAATTCCACAAAGCACTCAGCTAATGTCATTGCCACGCCTTCTCCCTCTCACCATCTTTGCTGTCACAATAAGCCGTGCTGCGGCTGGGTCTGAGCGCCTGTTAATTAATGCCAACCCAGCATCCGCTGCAGCATATTTAAAAACGCATTAGCTTTCAGCTTACGGCTTTGGAGCCGCAATGCAAACTGTGAGAGAAAGCCGGAATCTGAATCAGAGTGTCATAATTTTTTGGTAACAACAGAAAGCATTTGCAGAAGGACTTAAAAAAAAAAAAAAAAAAAAAAAAACATTAACGTTAATGCTGTATAAAACGTTAAAATTATATCCATATACATATATGTATATATATACTCGAATGTACGCAAAACAAACGTAATTACTTCAAACGGTGCTGCAGCATCAGCAGCTTAGCTAAAAGGCTATATATGATTCTTTTTATATGCTTTATGAAAATGAAATGCAAATTGCAAATGTGTGTAACGCATTTTTAAAGCTAAAAAGTTAGCATAGTCTTCAAACATATTTCATTTCTTATGTAGATTCTCTTTGACTTCTTTTTATGGCTTATTTACGTGAACTTGTTCCAAGGACTCGAAGGGACTCGATTGAGCTCTAAAGCTAGGGTAACTCCTAGTTGGTCACTCTGGTAGTTTACTTGTTTTTTGGCAAATGCTCGCATATGTTGCTAATCTCATTTGTTGTTTTATTTATTTATTTTTTTTTTCTGTTCTAAAATGGCAAACAAAGAGACTATGCGATGGCAACACTTGCTGAGACATTAAAGCAAAACTTTTGTAACGAGACAAGGGACTGTGAGACGAGGGAAAAGGGGAGGGGCAGGAGACTGTTGTGCCATACCTGCAACAGTGCCCATCAGTAGCCATAATGCGCTGCTGCTTAGCTGGCGTTTGTTGTTTTAATGCTATTTGCCTGCCTTTTGGAATCTGTCACCAAGCTACGTGACAATACAGCATTATGTGGGCGACTCTCTCCATCTCTCTCTCTCTTTGTGTATGCAAGTGTGCAGGTGTGTGTGTGTGTGCTGCCATGTGTCTGCGGTAAGCCGCAGACTTTGCTAGCTGACCTAAGTCAGCTTGCTCGCATTGGTGCGCAACTTACCTGACAAAACTTTAAGGCAAAAATTTCATTTAAAAGTTTCGCTGATGCTGGGAGCTGAAGCTGGAAGTGGACACCCCTGTCAGGCGCCCTCGCACTCTCCTGGGTCAAGTTGGCACCTACGCCAGCTGCGTAAAAGTTGCCCACGCCTCGGACCCCCCCCACAAGTCCGCCAGCAATTGGCTTTCGTTTCTTGGCAGAAGTTTTGCAAATGGACATTGACGTTGCATGGCTTTGGCTTCTCTTTTTGGCGCATCATAAACATTTACACAATCTGAACGATCCGCCCCAAATGGGACCCATTGGCGCCACTCAACTCTGAACTCTGCAAAACTCTGCACATTTCCCAGCTATTACAGCATTACAGGGAATTACAGGATATTGACTCAGATTGCAAAAATTATTTCATTCGTTATGTAAATAAAAAATATAAAAAAATTTACCCAAGAATTTTTTCCTGTTCTATCACATTTTTAGTGTATCTCTAGTGCAATTTACAATTTTGCTCTTTTGTTTGTTTATTTTTGTGGGTATATGAAAATTCATTAGCTTTGCAGGGTTTCATATTTTAGATTTGTAATTAAAATATTTTAGAACACCTATTTAGGTTTTTGCTTTAAGCTTTTAATTATGCATTTATTTGTGTTTGTTTTTTACGAACAACAACTATATAAACAATTTTTTTCATGCTCACTTAGATGTTTTAAATGGCGAATATTTGTGGTAAATTTTGTAATATTTATTTAATATTTAACATGATGGAATTTTTGTGTATGTAATAAAACGTTTTGAATAGACGCACGTGTGGAAATAATATTAATATAAATAAATATATATATATAGATTTTTTTTTTGCATTAAAATTGAAACAACTGAGAAGGTGGTGGTCGGGCATTGCACACTGCAAAATACTCGTTCGCAGCGCAAAAAGTTAGATGGATTCTAGCTTTAAAGCTCCGAAATGGTGTGCAAGACCAAAGTCCTGAGAGGTTTGAAACCAATACTCCCCTTTTACTTTCGTGAATGAGTTTAAAAATTAGAGTAGATGTAAATAATAACATGATTTGCTTTAAAAGGATTCAAAGGGTAGCATGATATAGATATAGATGAAAGCATCCCAATATAATAAATATTTACATTTTTAAATATATATTTTTTTTTCATTCTTAAATTTTTAATCTACTTACTATAAATTCTATTTTTGTATCGTATATTTTACCCAAATTACTTTTTATATAAATATTTGATATATGCATATAAATTTATTTTTGAGGATATATTTAGGCTTTCCCATTATATAAGAATCTCTCTCAAATGATTAAAGTTTCTGTTTTTGTGCTCACGCAGCTGAATGATGTTGTTTTTCCAGGAATTTACGTATTTTGTTTGCATGTTTTTCAGCCTTTACATTCCAATTTTTGCGCAAATTAAATTGGATTTTGGTTTTCGCAAAATAAACGAAATTGTGAAACGGTTAAAATTTATATATAATCTTATATGTGTATGAGTATATATATATATATTTGTTTTAATGCGGACTCACTCTTTTATTTTTATGGTCGAAATGTACATACTTATTTATGCAACATCTGTTGTTTTTTCGTCATTGTTGCTGTTATTCTTGCAGTCGTTGCTTAACTAATTAAAGCGGTTTAATTGCATAAATTAAAGCTACATATGTCGATTGTTGCCTTTGTTGCTGTTGCTGTTGTTATTGTTGCATTTGCCTCGTACACGAGTTGAGCAAATAAACATGCGAAAGCTTTTTACAACGGCTCATGAACAATTTACATAGCCCTAATTAGCGTATTTTTATACAATGGCAGTTTATATGTGATTTTAATTGATGTTTTATTTATTTTATTAATATTTATCGTATTTATCAGAGTCGATGATGAAAGACTTTTTATTTACAAAAATTTGTTAATATTTTCTTTAATTTTTATTTTGTTTTATTTATGTTCACGTACTTTTGATATCAATCAATCAACCGAACAAATTTATCAAACATCCAATTACGTCTTAGCTTAAAGCTTATATCTATGAAAAAAAAAATATATATATATATGTATATATACAAATAAAGAACAAAAATAAAATAAATGCTGGAAGTTTGAAGAAGAAGAAGAAACGAAGAAGAAGTGTTTTGCGCACAATTTGTTCGTTCCTTATCGACTGGGAATATGTGAGGGGCTGTTGCCAGGGAGGCAAAGAGCGCTCAGCATCCAGCAGGGCAGCAAATTGTAACAGACACACACACTTAAACTCCCCCTGATGTTTTAAAGCACTGGCAAAGCATGCTTCTTGGGTAGTAAACACTTATTAGATGTCACAAGTTCTGAATAAGCGGAGCGAAGCAGCGAAAGGGAAATGGAGACGAATACAGAAGGAGAGCGAGAGAGAGAGAGAGAGGGAGAGAGAGAGAGGGAGTAAGAGCAAGAGCAAGGTAACGAGCGGGCGGGCCGACAGTTAGAGCCCCCAAAGCGTTGGAGCAATGGAGCGTGCTGTTAAGGAGTATTCGACTAATAAAAATGTCAAAACGCATGAAGCTGATGACAAGCAACATGAAATGACAGCACATCCTACGCTGCTCATAGGACGTACGTAAGTTAGAAACTTTGCCTCCGGCCATTCCCATTGGCCCTTTAATGCGAGCGGCAACAATTTGACACACCTGCTGTGTGTGGCTCTCAGTCTACTATGCGTGCGTGGTTTGCCCTCACAATTTTCATCCGCACTAAAACTTTCACAATTAAAAGTTGGCAATTTTGTTGCGTCGTCTTCGACATAGAGTTTTGTTTTTGTATTTTTTTCCTTTTTGCCACGCACGTTTCAATTTTATTTGCCGAATTGGCTTAAGTGGATTTATCATATCAACCAGAAAGCTGTCTTAAAGCATATATATATATATTAAACATTACATATATAAGTATGTGTATGTATGTATGTATAGAGATACGACTTTTAATTACACAGCTTTTCAGTGCACGCACGTACGCGAGAATGTCGTGGTAAAAAAAGTTTTATTCCTTCTACTTGTGGTACGTGTCCGCGCTCAAAGCATTTTCAATAAACGTCTTTTGGTTTCTCTCTATCTCAGTCGCCGCGGGCATTGATAAACTTTAGCCCGCACTTGGCCTTGGCCGGGCAAAGGTCAAACAATAAACT